TGTCTCAAAAACTAAAATAAAATAAAATTCTCCAGTCTCTGCCTAGCATAGAAGATCTCCACCCACTACTATACTTCTTTTATCAAAGAAACATTTCATCTTCCTAAATGGAGAAAGCAGGAAGGATACCCAACGTTCTACAAGAAGAAAAGTTCTATATAAAGGTAAGGGGAAAAAATGAGAATCAACACTTGTCATGTAGAGGTACAAGATCCCAACAATGAATGTAACTGTACTGCATCCCTAAAATGTACCAATAAATTCAATTAAAGCTGAAAAAAAAAGAAGATTCTATGTAAAGAAGAGTTGCTGCCAACTCTTTGTCACAGCAGCATTTCATTATTGTATTGCTGTGATGGTTAACTTTATGTGTATTTGACTGGGCTAAGTGATGGCCAGGTATGTGGTAAAACATCATTTCTTGGTGTTTGTGTAAGAGATTGGTATCTGAATCATTAGACTGAGTAAAGAACATCCACCTTTAGCAGTGGTGGGCATTATCCAATTGTTGAGAGTCTGAATAGAATAAAAAGGTAGAGAAAGAGCAAATTTGCTTTCTCTTTGGAAACTGGGCCATCCATCTTCCCCTGTCCTCAAACACTGACACTCTGGGCTCTCAGTTCCGAGACTCACACCATTGGCTTTCCTGGCTTTTGCAACTCTTGGATTGCACCACAGCAACACCAGCTTTCCCAGACCTGCATCTGGCAGAGAGCAGACTGCAGGACTTCTAAGCATGAATAATCACAAGAGAGAAGTCCTACAATTAACATATTAATCTATACAGCAGTAACTTATTAGTTCTGTTTCTCTGAAGAAGCCTAATACAGTTATGATTATAAAAAATTCTGATTCCGGAAGTTGAAAACACAACTACATGTAAAGAAGAAAATAAAATTAACCATGCTCTCACAACCCAGAGATAACTTCTATTAATATTTTGAAACAAGTTTTTGCCACTGTCATACACCTCTTGGTGCATCTATAATCAATGTTATACATAGTTTTGACTACCCTCCCAATATTTCTATTATGAGTATTTTTCAATGTCACTAAAATATCTGTGAAGCATTCTTTCCAATAGCTACAAAACTGTCTTCTAGATTAATGTCTCATAATTTCTGTATTTATTTTAATGACTCACTATGTTCTAATCACAAAATAATTATGTCCATTTATAAAATTAGAGACTTAACATATAAATCACCCATAACCTTATCACTGAGATATAACCACTGTGAATATTTTGATATATTTCCTTCTGGTATTTTTATATGATTAGATATTATATACTTAAAATGATTGAGGTCATATATTACAAGTGTTTTCCCATGTCATTTAACGTGCTTTCAAAATGTGATTTTTAGTGCCTATAAAATATTAAATGACATATATCTGATCTCATTTCCTCACTGGGAAGGAGAGAAATCTCCATCCAATGAAGATGAAAACTATTAAGATACAGAGAGAAAGAGCCAGTCAAAGACCATGCCCCCTCCATAAAGAGACTTTCTAGAGTCCAGACCCACTTGCCTTATAAACACCAGTGGATCCTTATAAGGAGAGAAATCTCCATCCAATGAAGATGAAAACTATTAAGATAGAGCCAGTCAAAGACCATGCCCCTCCATAAAGAGACTTTCTAGAGTCCAGACCCACTTGCCTTATAAACACCAGTGGATCCTTCCAAAATCCAGGTCTTCGAGTTCAAGGGAAGGTGACTGCTGGAGAGAGAACTTCAGTTACAAGTGAGAGAACCTCTTCCCAAACAACGTAGCTCAGTGGTGCAGTGTTTGCCTAGCATGTGTGAGACCTTAGGTCCAATCCCTAACATTGCAAAAAACAAAACAAAACAAAATACCAGAAAAAAAATTAAAGGAGGAGGAAGAAAGGAGAAAGAGAAATGTAATGACTGCAGAAAATAAGAGGAAGTTGCATCCCTGCCGAATCCAGAGGCCAGAGCAGATCCTTGGCCCTCTCCGTGGGGTGTGTCTCATTTCGCTTCCTATGTGTTTTCATCCGCTCTCAAATGGAAAACATGAATATTTTCCTGAAGGGAAGCTGGTCCCATGACTCCCTAGCTTATGTCATCTTTATAGCTGTTAATCCACGGGAGAAGATAATATCTTTCCTGGTGCTGCTGAAGAAAATGACCAGTGAGGACTCCAGTCACCCAAGAAGAACCAATCACTGCGTTCTGGGGGGACAGATTGTTTGACAGATAAACTGGTGTCTGCGAGACCATACATTGCAGAGGGTCAGCTCCACTAAGTTGCATGGCAGGTGTGGGGTTCTTCAAACAAGGAGGAAATGGCAAAGTCACATCCAAATAGGTAAGAGGTCACTGTTACCACAGACAGCAGAATCCTGAGAAGATAAAGGGGAGCAGGCCACAAGTGACCCCAGGGCACGAGAGACCAGGTGCTTTCCCACATGCTTGGAAGCCAGGAGCAACAGGGGTGTCCCTCAGTGCTGCCAGGCCCTGTGAACACACCTCAGTTTAATTAAGCATTCTCCTACCATTACTCATACAGATTACTTCCAGCTTCCTTTTCATCAGCTCCTCTGCTAAATATTACTTTTTATTCATTTTGTGATAATATTCATTTATGACTGAAAGACAAGCAAACACTCATGATAAAATACAGAAAGACAAATATCTCTGCTATCCAGAGGTGACCAAATGTGTAAATGCACATACACGTACATATTTACACAAACAGCATTGTACTTCAAATTTTTTTTCATTTGTAAATTTACCTAGAACTAAACCAAAAACATCTTGTCATTCATTAAAGAGTCTGCTATCCAAATTTTAGCACATGTATACATGTATGTAAATGTTATCATAGCATTGTACTTCAAATTTTTTTTCATTTGTAAATTTACCTAGAACTAAACCAAAAACATCTTAAGTCATTCATTAAAGAGTCTGCTATCCAAATTTTAGCACATGTATACATGTATGTAAATGTTATCATGTAATTTTAATTAAAAATGTTTAATCATTTTTATTGGGGGATATTTAGATAGCATCCATTTTTATTCTTATAACAATTATGTGTGTGTGTGTGTGTGTGTGTGTGTACATGTATATGTATATTTGTGTCTTTGATTGTTTCACTGGCATAGATTCTTGGGAGCAGAGATACTTGACCAAAGTGTATGAACCACCTCATGAGTATAACCACACAGACCAGTCAGAACAGGGATGGTGGAAAACAGGGAAGATGAAGGCTTTATTTTACCAGCCCTTGTGGGGAAAACCAAGATTTGTGTAAGTTGTCATTCAACGAGATTAAATCCTGTTAATAGATGGATTTAAGAGTTTCCCATTTTCATTTATGCAGCTGTCCCTAATGCTTTGACTCATAGGAAAACAAGCCTCCTTGGCCCCTCACAGCAGACTAAACTGTCCCCAGAGCGATTTTCTTTTCTTTTTTTAAGTTTATTGGTACATTTTAGGTATGCAATACAGTCACATTCATCATTGGGATCTTGGCCCTTACATGATGTATCTTGGTTCTTATTTTTTCCCCATTCCCCTGTCCCCCTTCACCCTCTCCACCCTCCCCTATTTACAGAGACTTTGTTTCCATTTTTGCCCTTTCTCATGTTTTTCTTTTCCCTTATTACCTTTCCCCCACCTTTCCCACTTCCCCTACACCTTTAGCCCTTTGCTTCCTATCTCACATTGTCAGTTATATCATTTGGATCTTATTTACACTTTCAGTTTTTCATACCAGAGAAACCATTCGGTATTTCCACGTGTGTCCTATTTATTTCACTTTAGAGTATGGCCTCAATGTGCATCCATTTAGCTATAAATGTCTCTAGTTTTTCCTTCTTTCTCCACCCAAGAATGCAGTAAAGAATTTGATTCACCAGAAATGTTCTGCAGTCTTTTGCACGTAACAGTCAGAGGGAAGGAACACATCACAGAGCTTTCTACCAACTCTGTTCTGTGGGAAGGAAGGCAGACAGGGCAGAGTGGGCGAATAAAGGACTCTCCAGCAACTTAGAACCTCTTGGTAGAACTGGCAGGTAGAGCCTGGAGCTCTGACAGTCAGCTTCAGTAGGAAGCAGCATAGGAGGGCAGGAGGAGGCCAACTGCATGAACCAGAGGAAGGGGAGAGATTTTAAGGGCTGCCATGATTGAGGAGCTTTGGACCAAAGAACTCGAAGCCCAGGAAGATTTCTGAAATGTTTCCTAACTATAAGGTGTTGTGTATGTGGTCCGGTTCTCTAAGAGTACCAAGAACAAAGATGTGTATCGATCTGCAAGCTTTCAGAGACAAATAACATGTTGCTTCTGAATGAGACTCTGAGAGGCCAGCCCATATGAAACCTGAAATAAACTTAAAAGTAACCACAATGTGAACCTACTGTAGTCTGCCTGGAGTGAGAAACTTGCTCTGCTTTATACAGGCTCTGTAGAATTTATTTACTACATCTTTTTTCTTTGTGGTATACCCTCCAAAGGCTGAACACCTTTTTATTTCACGGCTGGATTGATGTATGGTGTGATTGTGGCAAAGGTATTTTGAAGTAAGTTACTTGGTTTTACCTCGGCTCTGTGAGTTTCTTTCCTCACTGTATCACATCTGTTCGTGGATAATAACTCATGATTATGGCAAAGACGTTGCTTTACTCATTCCTGTATGCTCCATGGCTTCGATCCAGGACTGTGCACCTGGTGCTGCAATATACATTCTTTGTTTGGTTGGTTTTGTTCTTGTTTTTTTGGTACAGGGATCGAACTCAGGGCCTTGAGCTTGTGAGGCAGGTCGCAGCACCACAGCAGGGGCAGCACCCGGCCCTGCAATATACATTCTTACGAAATTATAGTGAAGGCAAAAAAACAGGTGACTGGAAGAAGTTTGTCAATGGTTAAAGAAATCTGCTTTGTTTTCATTTATTCATCAAGTCAGCAAACATGTACTGAGGAGTTAACACGATGGAACTCCTGTTTCTTCAGTCTACTGCACAGAGGTGGTTCGTATTCTCCCCCAAGAACATGACTTCTCCTTTGTCGAGCACTTTAAACTTGACACTTGGCAAAGCACATCATGGAATGAAGAGGAAAGTAGAATTCCTGCCTGATAGAAGTCGGGCCCTGTTGTCAAAGGGCAGAAGAGGTCCTGGGGAGACCGCTGCTTCTGAAGGGAAACGCGCCCTGTGTGTATCCATGTACTTGAAGTCCTTTAACCGAGCAGTCCTTTGGCCTGACAAATGACACGCGTACTTCAGTTGGCAGGATGAAAGGGGACAGTGAAAAACAGGGAGTTGGGAAGGGAAGAGGTCTTAGGCAAACTATCCTTAGACAACCTGACTCAAGGCCAAAATCAAAGGTGCCTCAAAGCTGAGAGATGCCAGAACAGCCTCCTTGAAGGGACAGCAGTAGTGAGGAAAAATGGGCAGGGGCTTTGAGGAATCAATGTGCTTAAGTGTTGTAGTATACTGTAGGAGGAAAGGGAAATGATAGAAAGGTGTTGCGTTGTTCGAGTGAGTCTGGGGTCTCTTTTTATCACGCTGGCTCCCCACTTTGAAGCTGGAACACGGAGCAGACATGACCGTTTGTCTTCTAGTCTCACAAGTCGCGTGACAGCAATGGCTTTGTCACCCATAAAGCAGCGACAGGGATCTTAGGGTGATACCCCCACCCCCATCCTCCTCCAGTTTGCTCTCTAGATCACCCAGTTCCGTGTAAAACTGGACCTGGAGTGGGCTGAGCAGAATTCAAGTATACATGAATTCACTTATATTTTTTCATAATTTCAAAATGGTCAGATTCCATCTCCTCAAATGCCAGTTACTCAGGTATAAAACCAAAAAGGCAGTGAGTGTTGGACGTGACCAAATGAAGAAGTGTTTGAAATCAACCTGCGATGGATTTGTGAACTTCTTACTGAAAACACGAGGAAGGGAGATTCTGTGACTGTTTTGGAAGCAAATATGGTAGGTTTCTTTTAATAACTCACTTACTTTTTATTCACTGCAATATGTAGAATGCTAGTCTCTTTATTAAGAGACTATGTTTTCACATCAATATGTTCATTTATTTACTTGGAATTAGAGAATGTAACTACTTACAAGGGATTTCACTGATTAATTTGCAATCACCCCCCGTACAAGCCCAAGGTTTCCCAAGGTCTTAGATTTTTCAACTTTGAATTCTCTTAACAACATGACATGCGGAATGTAAACCTCATGCTTAAAGAAGTACAATTTATTTTCTTAATGTGCTGCTGATGGTCTCTGACCTAAAGCAGCCCCTCATCGCTGTACAGCCCACTCCACTCCTCCCAAATCTCCTTACCTTCCCCCCTCTCTTCTCTGGCTCCACCATACCTTCACATTCTGGTGAAGGAAGAAGACAAAGGAAATAAAACAATTTCACACATGATCCACGTGAGGTCGTGGGAAATGCTAACAAAGCAGAATAAAGACATCGGCAAAGTGAAGTGGTACGGCAAGAAATTTCAAATAAATCTACCAGGACAATTTTTCCTGAGCCAAGTAATAAATCTCATGGCTCACAATAGGCAAGATATCTGATCTTCAGTGGTGCTGCAAAACTATGAGTTCAGGCAAGAAGTGTTTTGTGTGTGTGTGTGTGTGTGTGTGTGGTTGGCCTTGAAACTGAGCTATATATTCAGCCGTGTTTTATTTATTTATTTATTTTTCTCTGTAGTACCAGTGATTAAACTCTGGACCTTGTGCTTGCGAGGCAGGTGGTGGAACCACTGAGCCAAATCCCCAGCCCCTAGCCATGTTTTATTTTTTATTTTGAGACAGGATCTTGCTAGGTCACTAAGTTGCCTTGTGTACACTCGAACTTGAAATCCTCCTGCTTCAGCCTCCCAGAGTGCTGGAATTACAGATGGATGCCATTATGCCCAGCAAGTTATTTTTATTATCTAAATAAATATCTCCTCTAAGACCCTTGATTTTTTATTACCTGTAGAAATTATTTTATGTCATTTTTTACTTGACATTGCATAATATTAGTTTCCAATTTCATTATAGTCTTCATAAAGACTGTTTTAATAATTGTAATATATGATTTAATTAATAATATTCCAATAAACATTTGCATTAACTTTTATTTTTATTATTATAAATAACTCTGCCGTTAATGAATTTATTCTTAAAGTTTTTATAATCTGTCATTATTATATTTTAATAAATTAAGAAATATGAGCTGGGGATTTAGCTCAGTGGTGGTGCCACTCACCTTGTAACTACAAGGTCCAGAGTATGATTCTCAGTACCAAAAAAAAAGCTTCCTGGAAGAAGTATGAATGCTTTTGAGGCTATTGATTTAATTTCTTAAATTGCTTTCTAAGTTAACATTTCAGTCTTCCCTTTATTACGAGAAAATACCAACACCCACAACTGAAAGGAGAGGGTTTTGTTTTCTAATCTTTATTACTACATGTTTGCAGTCCATAATGATCACATTTGTCATGGGGAGTTGGTACATGTACATAGCACATCTTAATTCTTTTTACTTCCCCTGTCTCTCCCTGCCTGCTCCCTCCAAGTTTATTTGGCTCATGGTACCAGGGATCGAACTCGGGCCCTTGTGCTTGTAAGGCAGGCACAGGAACCACTGAGCTAAATCCCTGGCCCTGGCTCATGGTTTTTATAGGCTTGAGTCCCTGGGTGGTTGGCTCCAGGGTAGAAACAGCATGACACAAGGGCACGGCCGAGGAAAAGGGCTCCCTCATAGCAGCCAGGAATCAGAGAGAAAAGTAGGAGCCTGGAACAAGAATGCACCTTTCCAGGTGGAGACCCCAGTGACTCACCTCCATCCAGGCCCACCTCCTAATGGCACATTCACCCACTGAACTCATCAGCGGATGTGTCTACTGGTGAGTGTGGTGTCCCCATGAAACAGTCACCTTCCAAACACAGGAGGCTTTGGGAGACATTGCAGATCTACACCATAGCTGTCGGATCCCTGCAGTTCTATGAGAGGAATCCTGGATCCATGGACTGGAAAGAGACCCTTACAGGCCAGCATTGATAGTCTATGGTGCCCCACATCCCATATGGAAATATGTTATGAGAAGGCTAACATATTTCCTCGTGATTATTAATTAATGCTTTTATTTTTGGGATATTAAATTTCAATTTCTATTAAAGTTTTTTGAAGTAGTCTTACTTCATCGGTGCCTAAGGCACACATTCAGTTCAACTGCAGAGTGATAGGATCCCAGAGATCCACTTTGTCAGCGTGAGAGCTTGGCTGACTAGGGGGTGCCTAACCTTATCTTTCAATTGAAGACCGTCTCCAGGTGTCACGGTGCACACCTGTAATCCCAGCACCGCAGAAGCTGAGGCAGGAGGATCGCTGTGAATTCAAGGTCAGCCTGGATGACACAGTGAGTTCAAGGCCAGCCTGGACTATACAGAGAGACCCTGCCTCAAAAAACAAAAATTAATTGTTTTAAAACTCGATGATAATCACATGAATTTCATTGAATTAATGCTAAGTCAGCTTACTTGCTTTGTATAGTGCTTGCCGTGTAAGTTCTCTATAAATGACAAGTTAAAGCTGCTGGTGTCATTTTACAAAACTATGACATTTACACTCTCAATACCAGCAGAGCATGACAGCACTTCACATTCAAAAGGAGAAACTTTGTTTATATAACAGTTTTTTTATTTTGTTTTATTGTCATGTTTTTGTTATTCTTTTTGTTTTTATTTATGTCCTAATTTTTTTTAAAAAGTGGGGTCTCAGACTTTCCTAACTTACATCTCTTTGCTCATTAATGAGGTTGAGCCTTTTTTCCATGTGTTTATTCATCAGTTATATTCCCATTTAGAATGATGTGACCCATGGCTTCAAATCTCAGGTCTTCCATCCATCTGCTCTGTTTGGACTTTGTTAGTGGGCAATGGGGCATCTGGTCTTCACAGGAAATAATGAAATGGACTCTCTCCCATCAAGAGCTGCTTGGGAGAGAGGGTGAGTGTGATTAGATTTGGGGCATTTTTCCTTCAGGCAGCTGAACTCTGCCTCACCCTGTGTGGTCATGAGATATCTACAACATTTCCATGCATTGCATCTCCACACAACAGCATCCAGGGGCAAGAAAGACACTCACTCTCTGTTTATAAAAGTGAAAAGTTATTTCCCAAAAGCCCCTTAGATGATTTCTCCCTCTCATTTTATAGTCAAATTTGCTACATGTTCATTCCCAAACCAATCACTGAAACCTCACTTTCAATTCCGCACAAAGACCATTTCACACTGGGACCACTTTGACTCCACCTGCTGCCTTGAGGAACAGTCAGCTTCCCAGAGTAGAGGGGATGGTGGAGTGGTTACCTGAAGGGCATCAGGGTTTAATTATGAAACTGGCTGAGACAGGCCTGGGAAAAAAACCCCAATGTATGATAAACAAAAGTAGCACACGTCCCATTAAATGAGTTAAGTAAGCACCGATGCGTCTCTGACCCTCACTTTCCTCCTGGGTCAACTGGAGATGTCCACCTTGTAGTATATTTCTGAACTGAATGTTTGCTACCCAGCACAAATCGGACCTGGAATAGGTGCACAGCAACTGTATTCGCATGAGCATTTTATATAATAACCTATCGTGTCTCATGCTGATGCAAACTTTTTCACAGTTTATTGAGAATTTATCGTGAGGGGAGTAGGGTCCATATATAAATGTGTAATGTTTGTGGCACAAGAGCGTTAATCTTTTCCTTTTTATTCCTTCTAATACTTTGCAGCGTTAAAGCACTCTCTACCCCTTTTTACTCCCTCTCTTTGGTATCTAATTACAAAGTCACATTAGTTTTCTTCTAGACTTTTATGATGTGATCCGCTCCACTCAGTACGGCCCATATCAGACTCGGTGTGGTATTAGCTGAAATATGAGGACCTGCTCATTTCTCTTACAGACACACGACCAATTGTTTCTGTGTCACTTACAAAGTAATGCTTTACCTCATTGATTATGAGGCCTACTTTATAAGCATTCCACTGTATTCCTATAAAATTGGGGACAAAAGAACAGGAAAATCTTCCTCAGATACCAGAGGAGTAGGGAAGACGCACCCATGCCCACCCATGCCCACTGTATACACTGCCACCAAATCTCTAGCTTGGGAATTAATAGCTGCAAAAAATCCAGTCTCTCCACCTGGTCCATTTCTCAACATTTTTCTTCAGCACATCCGGATGATTTTCTCTAGTTCCCTGCACATTGAGTTCTCACACTGCTGATTCAGAAGACGGTAGGTATGATAATGCTCCGCAGCATCTCTAACGAGCAGCTCTTAGAGCAGCGTGCAGGAGTTTCTGTGTGGCTGCTCTGTGATCACGACTCTCACAGTTTCTTATGTTTTGGCGGTAAATCTAATACACTGTGCACACGTGTTCACTTCCAGGTACCCCAGAGGCCATTAGCACACTGCAAGATGGATTCAATTTTTGCAGGTATTTCTATTCTCACTATTTTACAGCTCCAGTCAAAACTGATGATTTGTTCATCCTTAAACATGCTCCATACTTTCTTGCTTCTGTGTTTTTTTATACGACCCCCTGAAGTTGGCCAGCATTATGCCAAAACCTCCTTCCTCACTTCCTTCTTTCTAAACCCTAACCAACAATGTTATACATATTGGAAGTAAAACAACGGTTAAAGACATTTAAATCCAATGGAGTGTTACACAACTAATAACAGAGAACAAAAGGAGAGGAGGAGGAGGAGGACAAATGTTGACTAAAAAGTATATAAACAAATTGCTTTTGCGACTTGATTATAAATAGATATCTTGATCAGGCTCTGATTGGCAGAACACAAAGGTTACAAAAGCCAGGGCAGCTGCACCAAGGAGGGCCTGGATCCTGAGACTTTTCCTCAGTAAAACTTTGTTTCTTTTTTTATATCACTTGGCCTCCTTTTCTGGTCTTCATCTCTTGCTATTATTTTTCTATTTAATCCTTTTTCACCAGGGACAGGCTCCCTTTGTGGGAGTGTGGGTGGGATGGAAAATGACCACCAGAATCTAAGCCAGAAATTTTCAGGGCCCAGAAAGGACTCTGACGGACCTCCATTGACTCCTGGGCCTACCTTCGCTTAGTCGCCATGGTCATGGAATGGCTACCATGGGAAGTCAGACCCAGAACAAGAGCCTACCCTGTTGTCAGGGAAAAGGGGTACTGTGATCGGCAGCCTCGCTGAACCCCCAACTGGCGTGGGTCCCCAAAGAGAATGTGCTGAAGCACAAAGAAGAGAAAGGATGGTCAGAGAAAAAGCAGCTGAACTGCTAAGCAGACAAAAAACAAATAAGCAAAAACAAAAACAAAAACAAAAAAGTTGTGTTCTACAAATTGACATACAAGGCCTCGGCACTGCTACAACCTTCTTTCTTTTTCACAATTTTCACGAACTGCTAAGCAGACAAAAAACAAATAAGCAAAAACAAAAAAGTTGCGTTCTACAAATTGACATACAAGGCCTCGGCACTGCTACAACCTTCTTTCTTTTTCACAATTTTCTATCTCACATCCTGTATTAGCAACACTTTGAATTAATCAAATTGTACATGTCTGAGCTCCTCCTTTGCATGCGCTGTGTCTTCTTCCCCTAAAGCACTCCTACTCCTCCTGCTTCTGCCTGGCTAAGTCAGCTCACACTTCAGCTTATACTGCACCTGCACCTGGCTGTAGGAAGCCTGTGAGGACTCCCTCAGTGGGACTTAAAATCCCAAGCATGCAGACAGTTGCCTGAGGCTTGCCTCTCGCACAGCACATGATATGGTGAGATACTCCTGTTAATTTTAGCAGAAAGGGATGATCAGGGCCCAAGAGAGTCTATGAATTTCTGGGAGGCTAGGCAACCTGCTTAGATAATACTTAGATTAGAAACAACACAGGAGACCCTCCAACATCCTGCAGAAACTGTCACTTAGCCCCTCAACGAGAGAACCAGGATCCGACACCTTCTGCAAAGATAGGCACCTCCACCACCCTTCCTGCTACTATGAGGACCTTGGGTCCGGTATCTCATGACATATGCTGCACCTTCCAAAACTGTGCTTGGCAGGAGCTCAGACACGGAGACTACAGCTATAAGGGAAATGGGAAAACAGCTTTCATCACTATAAACAGTGTTGAAAGTATTGAGTGAACCGATTTCCAGGATCTTTTCAGTGCCATCCACAAAGGCTGTTGTAAAGGACAAAGTTATGGTTGCCATACTGTCATGAACAGTTTTATTATCTGTATGAAACCTTTGTTTACAGAAATACTTTTATGTTAATGTACACTTTATTTGATATTCATACTGCTCAGCCAGATTCCCTTTGCTTACTAATTTTCTGCTATGTCTTTTTTCTCTTTATTTGTAATGTGTTATTTTGTGTGAGTTTTATAACTTATAAAGAGTATGTGTAAATGATTTTTTAGAAACCAAACTAAGGCTGGGCATGGCAGCGCACACCTGGAATCCCAGCACTTGGGAAGCTCAGGCAGGAGGACCGTGTCTCTCTCTCTCTCTCTCTCTCTCTCTCTCTCTCTCTCTCTCTC